GACTGTTTTGACTCTTCAGGGTTTATAGAGGTGACTTACTGTTAGACTGTTTTGACTCTTCAGGGTTTATAGAGGTGACTTACTGTTCGACTGTTTTGACTCTTCAGGGTTTATAGAGGTGACTTACTGTTAGACTGTTTTTGACTCTTCAGGGTTTATAGAGGTGACTTACTGTTAGACTGTTTGACTCTTCAGGGTTTATAGAGGTGACTTACTGTTAGACTGTTTTGACTCTTCAGGGTTTATAGAGGTGACTTACTGTTTTGACTCTTCAGGGTGTCTGACACCATAGATCAGGGCTCTCCAACCCTGTTCCTTCCCTCCTGGAGGTTTTATCTCCAGGAACAGGGTTGGAGAGCCCGGTTGGAGAGCCCGGTTGGAGAGCCCGGTTGTAGTAGAGCAAGAACCAGTTAATCTATCTACTGTATAACAGGGTTTCTGGATCAAAAAGGGACTTACAGTGGTGTGAAAAAGTGTTTGCCCCCTTCCTGATTTCTTATTTGTTTGCATGTTTGTCACACTTAAATGTTTCAAGATCATCAAACAAATTTAAATATTAGTCAAAGATAACACAACACAAAATGCAGTTTTGAAATGAAGGTTGTTATTATTAAGGGAAAACAAAATCCAGACCTACATGGCCCTGTGGGAAAAAGGGTTTGCCCCCCCCCCCCCCCCCCCCCCCCCCCCCCCGTTACAACACAACTCACCTGTGGTTTATCACACCGGAGTTCAATTCCTCTAGCCACACCCAGGCCTGATGACTGCTACACCTGTTCTCAATCAAGGAATCACTTCAATACAAAGTGAAGTAGGCCAAAAGATCCTCAAAAGTAGAACTTTAAAGTATTTTTACTTAAGTACTTTTCAGTACTACTACAGGGGGCGCAGCCAAATTTTAGCTAACATTTTAGAGGCCCCCATCTTGACGGTGTAGAGACATTTTTGCGTTTTTAAGCCAATTTTCTGCAATTCTACACATTTTGCCATGCAGCTGAGAGAAAATGTTGCAGTTTTAATAAAGCAAATTTCCTGCGATTCTACATATTCTGCCATGGACTTTAGAGAAATGTTTTCATTTTTAAAGCTAATTTCCTGCAATTTTGGGGGATTTCAATCTACACTGCTCAAAAAAATAAAGGGAACACTAAAATAACACATCCTAGATCTGAATGAATGAAATAATCTTATTAAATACTTTTTTCTTTACATAGTTGAATGTGCTGACAACAAAATCACACAAAAATGATCAATGGAAATCAAATGTATCAACCCATGGAGGTCTGGATTTGGAGTCACCCTCAAAATTAAAGTGGAAAACCACACTACAGGCTGATCCAACTTTGATGTAATGTCCTTAAAACAAGTCAAAATGAGGCTCAGTAGTGTGTGTGGCCTCCACGTGCCTGTATGACCTCCCTACAACGCCTGGGCATGCTCCTGATGAGGTGGCGGATGGTCTCCTGAGGGATCTCCTCCCAGACCTGGACTAAAGCATCCGCCAACTCCTGGACAGTCTGTGGTGCAACGTGGCGTTGGTGGATGGAGCGAGACATGATGTCCCAGATGTGCTCAATTGGATTCAGGTCTGGGGAACGGGCGGGCCAGTCCATAGCATCAATGCCTTCCTCTTGCAGGAACTGCTCACACACTCCAGCCACATGAGGTCTAGCATTGTCTTGCATTAGGAGGAACCCAGGGCCAACCGCACCAGCATATGGTCTCACAAGGGGTCTGAGGATCTCATCTCGGTACCTAATGGCAGTCAGGCTACCTCTTGCGAGCACATGGAGGGCTGTGCGGCCCCCCAAAGAAATGCCACCCCACACCATGACTGACCCACCGCCAAACCGGTCATGCTGGAGGATGTTGCAGGCAGCAGAATGTTCTCCACGGCGTCTCCAGACTCTGTCACGTCTGTCACATGTGCTCAGTGTGAACCTGCTTTCATCTGTGAAGAGCACAGGGCGCCATCTTGGTGTTCTCTGGCAAATGCCAAACGTCCTGCACGGTGTTGGGCTGTAAGCACAACCCCCACCTGTGGACGTCGGGCCCTCATACCACCCTCATGGAGTCTGTTTCTGACCGTTTGAGCAGACACATGCACATTTGTGGCCTGCTGGAGGTCATTTTGCAGGGCTCTGGCAGTGCTCCTCCTGCTCCTCCTTGCACAAAGGCGGAGGTAGCAGTCCTGCTGCTGGGTTGTTGCCCTCCTACGGCCTCCTCCACGTCTCCTGATGTACTGGCCTGTCTCCTGGTAGCGCCTCCATGCTCTGGACACTACGCTGACAGACACAGCAAACCTTCTTGCCACAGCTCGCATTGATGTGCCATCCTGGATGAGCTGCACTACCTGAGCCACTTGTGTGGGTTGTAGACTTCGTCTCATGCTACCACTAGAGTGAAAGCACCGCCAGCATTCAAAAGTGACCAAAACATCAGCCAGGAAGCATAGGAACTGAGAAATGGTCTGTGGTCACCACCTGCAGAACCACTCCTTTATTGGGGGGGGTGTCTTGCTAATTGCCTATAATTTCCACCTGTTGTCTATTCCATTTGCACAACAGCATGTGACATTTATTGTCAATCAGTGTTGCTTCCTAAGTGGACAGTTTGATTTCACAGAAGTGTGATTGACTTGGAGTTACATTGTGTTGTTTAAGTGTTCCCTTTATTTTTTTTAGCAGTGTATATTACAGTGCATTCGGAAAGTATTCAGTCAGTTACTGCTTTCCCCTGGTTTCACTGAGCTTTGGGCGCGGTGTTAAACGTGCCATTGGAACACAGGACTGATGGTTGCTGATAAAGGGCCTCTTTACGCCTATGTAGATATTCCATTAAAATCTGCCGTTTCCAGCTACAATAGCCATTTACAACATTAACAATGTCTACATTTCTGATCAATTTGATGTTATTTTAATGGACAAAAAAAATAATTTTCTTTTGAAAACAAGGACATTTCTAAGTGACCCCAAACTTTTGAACAGTTGTGTGTGTGTGTGTATATATATATATATATATACACACACAGTACCAGTCAAAAGTTTGGAGACACCTACTCATTCAAGGGTTTTTACATCAAAACTATGAAATAACACATATGGAATCATGTAGTAACCAAAAAAGTGTTAAACAAATCAAAATATATTTTATTTTTGAAATTCTTCAAAATAACCACCCTTTGCCTTGATGACAGCTTTGCACACTCTTGGCATTCTCTCAACCAGCTTCACCTGGAATGCTTTTCCAACAGTCTTGAAGGAGTTCCCAAATATGCTGAGCACTTGTTGGCTGCTTTTCCTTCACTCTGCGGTCCAACTCTGAGGTCGGGGGATTGTGGAGGCACAGCCTGGAGGTGCGTTGGGTCATTGTCCTGTTAAAAAACAAATGATAGTCCCACTAAGCCCAAACCAGATGGGTTTGCGTATCGCTGCAGAATGCTGTGATAACCATGCTGGATAAGTGTGCCTTGAATTCTAAATAAATCACTGACAGTGTCACCAGCAAAGCACCCCCACACCATCACACCACCTCCTCCATGCGTCACGGTGAGAACCACACATGTGGAGATCAGATGGCATCAAGCACTCCTCCAGCATCTTTTCATTTGGTCTGCATCAACGTGCCATTGGAACACAGGACTGATGGTTGCTGATAATGGGCCTCTGTACGCCTATGTAGATATTCCATTCAAAATCTGCCGTTTCCAGCTATAATAGCCATTTACAACATTAACAATGTCTGATCAATTTGATGTTATTTTAATGGACAAAAAAAATTGGGGATTGTGGAGGCACAGCCTGGAGGTGCGTTGGGTCATTGTCCTGTTAAAAAACAAATGATAGTCCCACTAAGGCCAAACCAGATGGGATGGCGCGTCGCTGCAGAATGCTGTGGTAGCCATGCTGGTTAAGTGTGCCTTGAATTCTAAATAAATCACAGACAGTGTCACCAGCAAAGCACCCCCACACATGCGGAGATCATCCGTTCACCCACACCGCGTCTCACAAAGACACAGCGGTTGGAACCAAAAATCTCCAATTTGGACTCCAGACCAAAGGACACATTTCTGATGTCTAATGTCCATTGCTCATGTTTCTTGGCCCAAGCAGGTCTCATCTTCTTATTGGTGTCCTTTAATGGTGGTTTCTTTGCAGGAATTCAACCATGAAGGCCTGATTCACACAGTCCCCTCTGAACAATTGATGTTGAGATGTGTCTGTTACTTGAACTGTGAAGCATTTATTTGGGCTGCAATTTTTGAGGCTGGTAACTCTAATGAACTTATCCTCTGCAGCAGAGGTAACTCTGGGACTTCCATTCCTGTGGCGGTCCTCATGAGAGCCAGTTTCATCATAGCGCTGGATTTTTTTTGTGGCTGCACTTGCAGAAACTTTCAAAGTTCTTGAAATGTTCTGTATTGACTGACCTTCACGTCTTAAAGTAATGATGGACTGTCGTTTCTCTTTGCTTATTTGAGCTGTTCTTGCCATAATATGGACTTGGTCTTTTACCAAATAGGGTTATCTTCTGTATACCCCCCCAACCTTGTCACAACACAACTGATTGGCTCAAACGCATTAAGAAGGAAAGAAATTCCACAAATTAACTTTTAAGAAGGCCCACCTGTTAATTGAAATGCATTCCAGGTGACTATCTCATGAAGCTGGTTAAGACACTTTTTTTTTTTGGTTATTAAATGATTCAATATGTGTTATTTAATAGTTTTGATGTCTTCACTATTAATCTACAATGTAAAAATAAAGAAAAATCCTTGAGTGTGTGTGTGTGTGGAAAGGCCTTCAATGGCAGATAAATCCCTGTATTCCAGTTGGGAAACCCCATTCTATGGTATTAAAAGTATTTTCTGAAACTGTTCGACACAGTAGAGCAGGGTTCCTTACAATAGAGGAATGGATCTGACTTTGTCCTTTTTAAAACACATTGACTCAGAGCTCACTCTGATAACATCATCTTCTCTCCCTCTCTCTCTCTGCAGCTTCCACAGCTACGGTGAGTGTTCATCTCGGACCACTCCCCTCCTCTGATGTGATGACCAACACTGTTGTTGAACCTCTTCACTATCCAACATGTTTGTTTTCAAACAATGTAAAAACAGTTTTGTGAATAAAGGAGCACATAGGCTTTTATAGTGCACTCCGTTTTGACCAGTGCTCATACAAAAGTAGGGCACTATTTAAGAGGATAGGCTCTGGTCAAAAGTAGTGCACTATGTAGGGAATAAGATATCATTTGGGACGCATCTAATAGAAATGTCCATCAATCAAATGTATTTTATATTGCCCTTTTTTTTATGAGCAGTTTTTACAGAATGTAAAGAAAGAACATGTTCTGTTTGTTCAGCAGGACTCCTTTAGAGGTGGACCCAGGACCAGAGCTGGACCTGGATGGCTTCGGCAGCAGATACACGGCACCGCTACAGTACATTACCTGGAGGAAGATGTTCAGGTCTCTGAAACCTGGTAAGACGCCTAGTTCCAGGACGCGTCCCCAAATACCACCCTATTCCCTGGATGGTGCACTACGTTTCACCAGGGCCCCCGACCGTGTGCCTGTCTTTATTGCACTACGTTTCACCAGGGCCCCCGACCGTGTGCCTGTCTTTATTGCACTACGTTTCACCAGGGCCCCCGACCGTGTGCCTGTCTTTATTGCACTACGTTTCACCAGCGACCGTGTGCCTGTCTTTATTGCACTCTCACCCGCATTTTGATTTTTCTTCTTCCTGCCACTGATTCTGCTGATTAGCCGTAGACTTACAGACAACAACACGCAAATAGAAGTACAAATATATCCAGACGTCTTAATAGAAGTAAGCCGTACAAATACATCCAGACGTGTTTATAGAAGTAAGCCGTACAAATATATTCAGACTTAGAAGCACATCATATAAAGTAGTAACTCAGTAACCTGGGGCGTAGTTCCTCTAGCTCAACCTAAGAAAACATTGAACCTCTTCCCCTACCAGACATATAGACAACAACATGTTACTAGGAAACATTGAACCTCTTCCCTCTACCAGACATATAGACAACAACATGTTACTAGGAAACATTGAACCTCTTCCCCCTACCAGACATATAGACAACAACATGTTAATAGGAAACATTGAACCTCTTCCCTCTACCAGACATATAGACAACAACATGTTAACAGGAAACATTGAACCTCTTCCCCCTACCAGACATATAGACAACAACATGTTAACAGGAAACATTGAACCTCTTCCCTCTACCAGACATATAGACAACAACATGTTAATAGGAAACATTGAACCTCTTCCCTCTACCAGACATATAGACAACATGTTAACAGGAAACATTGAACCTCTTCCCCCTACCAGACATATAGACAACAACATGTTAACAGGAAACATTGAACCTCTTCCCTCTACCAGACATATAGACAACAACATGTTAATAGGAAACATTGAACCTCTTCCCTCTACCAGACATATAGACAACAACATGTTAACAGGAAACATTGAACCTCTTACCCCTACCAGACATATAGACAACAACATGTTAACAGGAAACATTGAACCTCTTTCCCCTACCAGACATATAGACAACAACATGTTAACAGGAAACATTGAACCTCTTCCCCCTACCAGACATATAGACAACAACATGTTAACAGGAAACATTGAACCTCTTCCCCCTACCAGACATATAGACAACAACATGTTAACAGGAAACATTGAACCTCTTCCCCCTACCAGACATATAGACAACAACATGTTAACAGGAAACATTGAACCTCTTCCCTCTACCAGACATATAGACAACAACATGTTAACAGGAAACATTGAACCTCTTCCCTCTACCAGACATATAGACAACAACATGTTACTAGGAAACATTGAACCTCTTCCCCCTACCAGACATATAGACAACAACATGTTACTAGGAAACATTGAACCTCTTCCCCCTACCAGACATATAGACAACAACATGTTAACAGGAAACATTGAACCTCTTCCCTCTACCAGACATATAGACAACAACATGTTAACAGGAAACATTGAACCTCTTCCCCCTACCAGACATATAGACAACAACATGTTAACAGGAAACATTGAACCTCTTCCCTCTACCAGACATATAGACAACAACATGTTAATAGGAAACATTGAACCTCTTCCCTCTACCAGACATATAGACAACAACATGTTAACAGGAAACATTGAACCTCTTCCCCCTACCAGACATATAGACAACAACATGTTAACAGGAAACATTGAACCTCTTCCCTCTACCAGACATATAGACAACAACATGTTAACAGGAAACATTGAACCTCTTCCCCCTACCAGACATATAGACAACAACATGTTAACAGGAAACATTGAACCTCTTCCCCCTACCAGACATATAGACAACAACATGTTAACAGGAAACATTGAACCTCTTCCCCCTACCAGACATATAGACAACAACATGTTAACAGGAAACATTGAACCTCTTCCCCCTACCAGACATATAGACAACAACATGTTAACAGGAAACATTGAACCTCTTCCCCCTACCAGACATATAGACAACAACATGTTAACAGGAAACATTGAACCTCTTCCCTCTACCAGACATATAGACAACAACATGTTAACAGGAAACATTGAACCTCTTCCCCCTACCAGACATATAGACAACAACATGTTAACAGGAAACATTGAACCTCTTCCCTCTACCAGACATATAGACAACAACATGTTACTAGGAAACATTGAACCTCTTCCCTCTACCAGACATATAGACAACAACATGTTAACAGGAAACATTGAACCTATTCCCTCTACCAGACATATAGACAACAACATGTTACTAGGAAACATTGAACCTCTTCCCTCTACCAGACATATAGACAACAACATGTTAACAGGAAACATTGAACCTCTTCCCTCTACCAGACATATAGACAACAACATGTTAACAGGAAACATTGAACCTCTTCCCTCTACCAGACATATAGACAACAACATGTTAACAGGAAACATTGAACCTCTTCCCCCTACCAGACATATAGACAACAACATGTTAACAGGAAACATTGAACCTCTTCCCTCTACCAGACATATAGACAACAACATGTTACTAGGAAACATTGAACCTCTTCCCTCTACCAGACATATAGACAACAACATGTTACTAGGAAACATTGAACCTCTTCCCTCTACCAGACATATAGACAGCAACATGTTACTAGGAAACATTGAACCTCTTCCCCCTACCAGACATATAGACAACAACATGTTAACAGGAAACATTGAACCTCTTCCCTCTACCAGACATATAGACAACAACATGTTAACAGGAAACATTGAACCTCTTCCCTCTACCAGACATATAGACAACAACATGTTAACAGGAAACATTGAACCTCTTCCCTCTACCAGACATATAGACAACAACATGTTACTAGGAAACATTGAACCTCTTCCCTCTACCAGACATATAGACAACAACATGTTAACAGGAAACATTGAACCTCTTCCCTCTACCAGACATATAGACAACAACATGTTAACAGGAAACATTGAACCTCTTCCCTCTACCAGACATATAGACAACAACATGTTAACAGGAAACATTGAACCTCTTCCCTCTACCAGACATATAGACAACAACATGTTAACAGGAAACATTGAACCTCTTCCCTCTACCAGACATATAGACAACAACATGTTACTAGGAAACATTGAACCTCTTCCCTCTACCAGACATATAGACAACAACATGTTACTAGGAAACATTGAACCTCTTCCCTCTACCAGACATATAGACAACAACATGTTAACAGGAAACATTGAACCTCTTCCCTCTACCAGACATATAGACAACAACATGTTAACAGGAAACATTGAACCTCTTCCCTCTACCAGACATATAGACAACAACATGTTACTAGGAAACATTGAACCTCTTCCCTCTACCAGACATATAGACAACAACATGTTACTAGGAAACATTGAACCTCTTCCCTCTACCAGACATATAGACAACAACATGTTACTAGGAAACATTGAACCTCTTCCCTCTACCAGACATATAGACAACAACATGTTACTAGGAAACATTGAACCTCTTCCCCCTACCAGACATATAGACAACAACATGTTAACAGGAAACATTGAACCTCTTCCCTCTACCAGACATATAGACAACAACATGTTACTAGGAAACATTGAACCTCTTCCCTCTACCAGACATATAGACAACAACATGTTACTAGGAAACATTGAACCTCTTCCCCCTACCAGACATATAGACAACAACATGTTAACAGGAAACATTGAACCTCTTCCCTCTACCAGACATATAGACAACAACATGTTAACAGGAAACATTGAACCTCTTCCCCCTACCAGACATATAGACAACAACATGTTAACAGGAAACATTGAACCTCTTCCCTCTACCAGACATATAGACAACAACATGTTACTAGGAAACATTGAACCTCTTCCCTCTACCAGACATATAGACAACAACATGTTAACAGGAAACATTGAACCTCTTCCCTCTACCAGACATATAGACAACAACATGTTACTAGGAAACATTGAACCTCTTCCCTCTACCAGACATATAGACAACAACATGTTAACAGGAAACATTGAACCTCTTCCCTCTACCAGACATATAGACAACAACATGTTAACAGGAAACATTGAACCTCTTCCCTCTACCAGACATATAGACAACAACATGTTAACAGGAAACATTGAACCTCTTCCCCCTACCAGACATATAGACAACAACATGTTAACAGGAAACATTGAACCTCTTCCCTCTACCAGACATATAGACAACAACATGTTACTAGGAAACATTGAACCTCTTCCCTCTACCAGACATATAGACAACAACATGTTACTAGGAAACATTGAACCTCTTCCCTCTACCAGACATATAGACAGCAACATGTTACTAGGAAACATTGAACCTCTTCCCCCTACCAGACATATAGACAACAACATGTTAACAGGAAACATTGAACCTCTTCCCTCTACCAGACATATAGACAACAACATGTTAACAGGAAACATTGAACCTCTTCCCTCTACCAGACATATAGACAACAACATGTTAACAGGAAACATTGAACCTCTTCCCTCTACCAGACATATAGACAACAACATGTTACTAGGAAACATTGAACCTCTTCCCTCTACCAGACATATAGACAACAACATGTTAACAGGAAACATTGAACCTCTTCCCTCTACCAGACATATAGACAACAACATGTTAACAGGAAACATTGAACCTCTTCCCTCTACCAGACATATAGACAACAACATGTTAACAGGAAACATTGAACCTCTTCCCTCTACCAGACATATAGACAACAACATGTTAACAGGAAACATTGAACCTCTTCCCTCTACCAGACATATAGACAACAACATGTTACTAGGAAACATTGAACCTCTTCCCTCTACCAGACATATAGACAACAACATGTTACTAGGAAACATTGAACCTCTTCCCTCTACCAGACATATAGACAACAACATGTTAACAGGAAACATTGAACCTCTTCCCTCTACCAGACATATAGACAACAACATGTTAACAGGAAACATTGAACCTCTTCCCTCTACCAGACATATAGACAACAACATGTTACTAGGAAACATTGAACCTCTTCCCTCTACCAGACATATAGACAACAACATGTTACTAGGAAACATTGAACCTCTTCCCTCTACCAGACATATAGACAACAACATGTTACTAGGAAACATTGAACCTCTTCCCTCTACCAGACATATAGACAACAACATGTTACTAGGAAACATTGAACCTCTTCCCTCTACCAGACATATAGACAACAACATGTTACTAGGAAACATTGAACCTCTTCCCTCTACCAGACATATAGACAACAACATGTTACTAGGAAACATTGAACCTCTTCCCTCTACCAGACATATAGACAACAACATGTTACTAGGAAACATTGAACCTCTTCCCTCTACCAGACATATAGACAACAACATGTTACTAGGAAACATTGAACCTCTTCCCTCTACCAGACATATAGACAACAACATGTTACTAGGAAACATTGAACCTCTTCCCTCTACCAGACATATAGACAACAACATGTTACTAGGAAACATTGAACCTCTTCCCTCTACCAGACATATAGACAACAACATGTTACTAGGAAACATTGAACCTCTTCCCTCTACCAGACATATAGACAACAACATGTTAACAGGAAACATTGAACCTCTTCCCTCTACCAGACATATAGACAACAACATGTTACTAGGAAACATTGAACCTCTTCCCTCTACCAGACATATAGACAACAACATGTTACTAGGAAACATTGAACCTCTTCCCTATACCAGACATATAGACAACAACATGTTACTAGGAAACATTGAACCTCTTCCCTCTACCAGACATATAGACAACAACATGTTACTAGGAAACATTGAACCTCTTCCCTCTACCAGACATATAGACAACAACATGTTACTAGGAAACATTGAACCTCTTCCCTCTACCAGACATATAGACAACAACATGTTACTAGCAAACATTGAACCTCTTCCCTCTACCAGACATATAGACAACAACATGTTAACAGGAAACATTGAACCTCTTCCCCCTACCAGACATATAGACAACAACATGTTACTAGGAAACATTGAACCTCTTCCCCCTACCAGACATATAGACAACAACATGTTACTAGGAAACATTGAACCTCTTCCCTCTACCAGACATATAGACAACAACATGTTACTAGGAAACATTGAACCTCTTCCCTCTACCAGACATATAGACAACAACATGTTACTAGGAAACATTGAACCTCTTCCCTCTACCAGACATATAGACAACAACATGTTACTAGGAAACATTGAACCTCTTCCCTCTACCAGACATATAGACAACAACATGTTAATAGGAAACATTTAACCTTAATACTTGTTTTCCCCTCATCAATCTACACACAATACCCCATAATGACAGTGAAAACAGGTTTTTAGATTTTTACAATTTTTTTATTTTCTATGTGTGTCTCTTCAGGGCTCACTGGAAAAAGAGACTTCGGCCTCAATGTTGACATCCCTGTAAAAAAGAAAGGTGAAATAAATACAATAACAAGATTGGAAAGTCCAACTGAAAAGCATTGAACCTCCATGTGACCCTTCTCCCCTCAGGTCCAACTGAAAAGCATTGAACCTCCATGTAACCCTTCTCCCCTCAGGTCCAACTGAAAAGCATTGAACCTCCATGTAACCCTTCTCCCCTCAGGTCCAACTGAAAAGCATTGAACCTCCATGTAACCCTTCTCCCCTCAGGTCCAACTGAAAAGCATTGAACCTTCATGTAACCCTTCTCCCCTCAGGTCCAACTGAAAAGCATTGAACCTCCATGTAACCCTTCTCCCCTCAGGTCCAACTGAAAAGCATTGAACCTCCATGGGACCCTTCTCCCCTCACGTCCAACTGAAAAGCATTGAACCTCCATGTAACCCTTCTCCCCTCAGGTCTGGCCCGGGTAACGTTTGATGTGGACACGGCCCACCCCAGTGTCTATGTAACCCCTCTCCCCTCAGGTCTGGCCCCGGTAACGTTTGATGTGGACACGGCCCACCCCAGTGTCTATGTGTCCAGAGACAGAACCGTAGCAGTAGACTGTGATGGCATGGTCTCCTACCCGTCCAACCCTAAGAGGTTCCTTCAGTGTGTCAACGTGCTGGGTGCTCAGAGCTTCCAAGCTGGACGCCACTACTGGGAGGTAGGGTGGCATATATAGTGCAGACCCCTAGACTTTTTCCACATTTTGTTACGTTACAGCCTTATTCTAAAATTGATTAAATAGTTTTCCCCCCCCTCATCAATCTACCCGATAATGACAAAGCAAAAACAGGTTGTTAGAAATGTTTGCAAATTTATTAGAAATAAAAAAAACGTTTACATTTACGTAAGTATTCAGACCCTTTACTCAGTACTTTGTTGAAACAGCTTTGGCAGCGATTACAGCCTCGAGTCTTCTTGGGTATGACACTACAAGCTTGGCACACCTGTATTTGGGGAGTTTCTGAAGAGATGGGAGAACCTTCCAGAAGGACAACCATCTCCACATAGGAACTCTGGACTTCTGTCAGAGTGACCATCGGGTTCTTGGTCACCTCCCTGACCAAGGCCCTTCTCCCCCGATTGCTCAGTTTGTCCGGGCGGCCAGCTCTAGGAAGAGTCTTGGTGGTTCCAAACTTCTTCCATTTAAGAATGATGGAGGCCACTGTGCTCTTGGGGACCTTCAATGCTGCAGACATGTTTTGGTACCTTTTCCCAGATCTGTGCCTCGACACGTATGTGCCTTTCCAAATCATGTCCAATCAATTGAATCACCACAGCAGGACTCCAATCAAGTTGTAGAAACATCTCTAGGATGATCAATGGAAACAGGATGCACCTGAGCTCAATTTCGAGTCTCATCGCAAAGGGTCTGAATACTTATGTAAATTAGGTATTTCTGTTTTTAATAAATTAGCAAAAAAGTCTAAAAACCTGTTTTCGCTTTGTCATTATGGGGTATGGTGTGTAGATTGAGGAAAAATAATTTAATCAATTTTAGAATAAGGTTGTAACGTAACAAAATGTGGAAAAAATCAAGGGGTCTGAATACTTTCCGAATGCACTGTATACACTATATATACAAACGTATGTGGACACCCCTTCAAATGAGTGGATTCGGTTATTTCAGCCACAACCGTTGCTGACAGGTGTATAAAATCGAGCACACCACCATGCAATCTCCATAGACAAACATTGTCAGTAGAATGGCCGTACTGAAGAGCTCAGTGACTTTCAATGTGGCACCGTCATAGGATGCCTCCTTTCCAACAAGTCAGTTTGTCAAATTTCTGCCCTGCTAGAGCTGCCCCGGTCAACTGTAAGTGCAGTTATTGTGAAGTGGAAACGTCTAGGAGCAACAACGGCTCAGCTGCAAAGTGGTAGACCACACAAGCTCACAGAACGGGACCGCCAAGTGCTGAAACGCGTAAAAATCGTCTGTCCTCGGTTGCAACACTCACTAGCGAGTTCCAAACTGCCTCTAGAAGCAACATCAGCACAAGAACTGTTCATCAGGAGCTTCATTAAATGGGTTTCCATGGCCGAGTAGCCACACCCAAGCCTAAGATCACCATGCGCACTGCCAAGCGTCGCTGGAGTGGTGTAAAGCTCGCCGCCATTGGACTCTGGAGCAGTGGAAACGCGTTCTCTGGAGTGATGAATCACGCTTCACCATCTGGCAGGCCGACGGACAAATCTGGGTTTGGCGGATGCCAGGAGAACGTTACCTGCTCCAATGCATAGTGCCAACTGTAAAGTTTGGTGGAACTTTGTGGCAACAGTTTGGGGAAGGCCCTTTCCTGTTTCAGCATCACAATACCCCCGTGCACAAAGCGAGGTCCATACAGAATTGGTTTGTCGAGATCGGTATGGAAGAACTTGACTGGCCTGCACAGAGCCCTGACCTCAACCCCATCGAACACCTTTGGGATGAATTGGAACGCCGACTGCGAGCCAGGCCTAATCGCCCAACATCAGTGCCCGACCTCACTAATGCTCATGTGTCTGAATGGAAGCAAGTCCCTGCAGCAATGTTCCAACATCTAGTGGAAAGCCTTCCCAGAAGAGTGGAGGCTGTTATAGCAGCAAAGGGGGGACCAACTCCATATTAATGCCCAGGATTTTGGAATGAGATGTTCGTCGAGCAGGTGTCGACATACTTTTGGTCGTGTAGGTTGATAGGTGTGTGTGTATAAATCTATCTACCTACCCACCCCCCCCCCCCCCCCCCCCCCCACACACACACACACACACACATTCAAGGGTTTTTTCTTTATTTTTACTATTTTCTATAATAGTGAAGACATCAAAACTATGAAATAACACATATGGAATCATGTAGTAACCAAAAGATGTGGAGGTCCTGGGCTGGCGTGGTTACACGTTGTCTACGGTTGTGAGGCCGGTTGGACGTAAAGCCATGTTGGAGGCGGCTTATGGTAGAGAAATCAACATTAAATTCTCTGCCAACAGCTCTGGTGGACTTGAGACAGCTGTGGTATTGTGTTGTGTGACAAAACTGCACATTTTAAAGTGGCCTTTTATTGTATTGTAAAGTAGTTCTGGCTCAGACAAGGCTATCCTGTTTCTGTAGTGAGACAGCTTGATGTACAGTACACCCCCTGGACAGGACACTAGTCTATCTCCTGTTTCTGTAGTGAGACAGCTTGATGTACAGTACACCCCCTGGACAGGACACTAGTCTGTCTCCTGTTTCTGTAGTGAGACAGCTTGATGTACAGTACACCCCCTGGACAGGACACTAGTCTATCTCCTGTTTCTGTAGTGAGACAGCTTGATGTACAGTACACCCCCCTGGACAGGACACTAGTCTATCTCCTGTTTCTGTAGTGAGACAGCTTGATGTACCAGTACACCCCCTGGACAGGACACTAGTCTATCTCCTGTTTCTGTAGTGAGACAGCTTGATGTACAGTACACCCCCTGGACAGGACACTAGTCTATCTCCTGTTTCTGTAGTGAGACAGCTTGATGTACAGTACACCCCCTGGACAGGACACTAGTCTGTCTCCTGTTTCTGTAGTGAGACAGCTTGATGTACAGTACACCCCCTGGACAGGACACTAGTCTATCTCCTGTTTCTGTAGTGAGACAGCTTGATGTACAGTACACCCCCTGGACAGGACACTAGTCTATCTCCTGTTTCTGTAGTGAGACAGCTTGATGTACCAGTACACCCCCTGGACAGGACACTAGTCTATCTCCTGTTTCTGTAGTGAGACAGCTTGATGTACAGTACACCCCCTGGACAGGACACTAGTCTATCTCCTCTTTCTGTAGTGAGACAGCTTGATGTACCAGTACACCCCCTGGACAGGACACTAGTCTATCTCCTGTTTCTGTAGTGAGACAGCTTGATGTACCAGTACACCCCCTGGACAGGACACTAGTCTATCTCCTGTTTCTGTAGTGAGACAGCTTGATGTACCAGTACACCCCCTGGACAGGACACTAGTCTATCTCCTGTTTCTGTAGTGAGACAGCTTGATGTACAGTCCACCCCCTGGACAGGACACTAGTCTATCAGTGTTTATTCTATAACAGGGTGATTGTGGTATTTATTTCCTCCCTCCCTCCCTCTAGGTAGGAGTGGGTAGCAAGGCCAAGTGGGACCTGGGTGTGGCGTCAGAGAGGGTTGACCGTCAGGCCCGGGTCAAGCTGAGTCCAGAGAGCGGTTACTGGACCCTACGACTGAGAGAGGGAGACCAGTACTCGGCAGGCACACAGCCCTGGACACGGCTCCAGGTGGGATCCTCTGCAGTGCAGTAGGGACACTTCAGGGTTTATTGAAACTCAAGTGTAGACTCTTCTTCAGCTGTCCTCACAGGAGAAACCTTTAGAAGAACCCAATTGGGTTCCATGTAGAACCCAATTGAGTTCCATGTAGAACCCTATTGAGTTCCATGTAGAACCCTATTGAGTTCCATGTAGAACCCTATTGAGTTCCATGTAGAACCCAATTGAGTTCCATGTAGAACCCCTTCCACAAAAAGTTCTACATGGAATCCAAAGGAGTTCTACCTGGAACCCAAAAGGGTTCTTCGGGTTCTTCAAAGGGTTCTCCCATGGGGACAGCCAAGAAGCGTTTTGGAACCTTTTTTTTCTAAGCGTGTATGTGAGACCCGTAGAGTATTGGAACGGAAGTGGCTCTTTAAAACACATTGATCCAGTACTGCTTCACCCTGATATCATCTTGTTGTCTCTCTCTCCCCTCCATCTTGTGTCCTGCAGGTTGGGTGCTCTCCCCAGAGGATAGGGGTGTTCCTGGACTGTGATGAGAGGAAGGTGTCCTTCTATAACGCTGATGACATGAGTCTCCTGTACACCTTTAGCAACGGCCCCAGAGGCAGAGTGCTGCCGTTCTTTAGCCCCTGTGTCAGTGATACTAACCAGAAACCACAGCCCATCCAGCTGCTACACTATCCTCCTGTTGATCTGACCTATTAGGACAGGTGTATCAATGACTACAGTCAGAAACCACAGCCCATAATGCTCCTACACGCTCCCCCTGGTCATGACTGGTGTCTTTGAGATGGGTTTCTCTGGTCCTTGGATCTTGATTTGCCAGTTGATGTAATGTTTGCCCAAAGCGTCTACTCTGTGAGCTTCCCAAGTCTGTATAACCAAAATGCTCCATATCACCTCTGAGGCATTTACTTCCAGAGGGTTTTGCAATGGAACAGTTGCCATGATACATCTATCATCACCTTGACCCTCTCCATCAGCATGCAGTATCTTATTTCATGGACATCACGAAGTGGTCTCATTTATAAAGGTGCAATAGACCTGTTCTAATAAATGCTGTTTTTAAAGTGGCTATATGTTACTTTTTCGGCGACCTGACCAAATTCACATAGAAATATGAGTTATAGATCTATAATTCAGCTTGAAAACAAGTCTAAGAAAAAGTAGATCTGTTCTATGTTCTACTATTTCTCTGCTTCCAGTTAAGTTTTGTTTTTGCTGCTTTTGCTTTCGGTTTTGTACACCAGCTTCAAACAGCTGAAAATACAATATTTTTGGTTATGGAAAATATATATTCACAGCGGTTTAGATAGTATAGTGTAGAGAATCATTGTACTCTCTTATTTTGTAACGTAAACAGAAAGTAGGCGAACTGTTAAAGAGTTTTAGCAACCAGGAAATGGCTGAGTGATTTCTGCATAATGCATCTTTAAGTATCAGCCATATGCCTTGTCTCTCTCTCTTTTTGACTAAATGTGGCCCGCTGTCCATTACTGGATGTTTCCTCCTGTCTTTAGGAGTCTCTGTAGATATCGATAAATCACTTGGTGCCATAATTACACTGCACCTTTAAATCACCCTGCTTTCTCATCAGGGCCTATGTTATGCCTTCTCACCTTTAAATCACCCTGCTTTCTCATCAGGGCCTATGTTATGCCTTCTCACCTTTAAATCACCCTGCTTTCTCATCAGGGCCTATGTTATGCCTTCTCACCTTTAAATCACCCTGCTTTCTCATCAGGGCCTATGTTATGCCTCCTCACCTTTAAATCACCCTGCTTTCTCATCAGGGCCTATGTTATGCCTTCTCACCTTTAAATCACCCTGCTTTCTCATCAGGGCCTATGTTATGCCTCCTCACCTTTAAATCACCCTGCTTTCTCATCAGGGCCTATGTTATGCCTCCTCACCTTTAAATCACCCTGCTTTCTCATCAGGGCCTATGTTATGCCTTCTCACCTTTAAATCACCCTGCTTTCTCATCAGGGCCTATGTTATGCCTCCTCACCTTTAAATCACCCTGCTTTCTCATCAGGGCCTATGTTATGCCTTCTCACCTTTAAATCACCCTGCTTTCTCATCAGGGCCTATGTTATGCCTCCTCACCTTTAAATCACCCTGCTTTCTCATCAGGGCCTATGTTATGCCTCCTCACCTTTAAATCACCCTGCTTTCTCATCAGGGCCTATGTTATGCCTTCTCACCTTTAAATCACCCTGCTTTCTCATCAGGGCCTATGTTATGCCTTCTCACCTTTTTATGCAATCTCTTTTTATTTTTAATCGGTTCAATATAGCTTTCAAAATAGTATTACTTTTATTTCATCACGGTTCTTTTTTAATTTTGTTTTGATTAGAAATGAATTCACCATACAACCCCATACATATCCAGGTACTAACATTATGCTCTTTCTCCAAATCTAGAAATATGACTACTGGACATTTTACATATCTCAATCAATCTGTACTCATCAGCTTAAATGAAGGACTGATTTTATTCTAATCAGAAAAAGCCAAATGTTTATTGGAAGATGTCAATAAAAAGAATCAATAAACCAAATCAAGTTGCCTTCTTTGACAAACACAGTTCTCATGTCTTATGATGTCTATGGTCTGTTTATGGCTTACTGCAACACAGATTTTGGGTCTGAAAATTACAGATTGAGCCAATGGTTTTTAAAATGGGAGGCATCTGTTGACAAAAGATGGACGATTGTCCATCAAAACAAAACAATTCACAATATGTCTACCTTCCTGTCGTATGCAGCTCGTCCGAAAATAGTGGAGTGGTGATTAACTTTTGACAGACAAAAACGGACAATTAATGAATTCATGATATACGATTTCCTCCGTGTTCATGAGTCTCTGAATGGCCGTAGCCTTAGGATGAGGGATAGTGAAGAGTTTACCTCATCAAAGTAAAAACCAACACACAAACATAGTTGCATTGTTGCAGATGTTGACGAGGATTTAGCTGTGACTAACTAGGCCAGGCCTGAGGGGTTGTAGTGGGGGTTAGCACTAGGCCAGGCCTGAGGGGTTGTAGTGGGGGTTAGCACTAGGCCAGGCCTGAGGGGTTGTAGTGGGGGTTAGCACTAGGCCAGGCCTGAGGGGTTGTAGTGGGGGTTAGCACTAGGCCAGGCCTGAGGGGTTGTAGTGGGGGTTAGCACAGCCAGGCCTGAGGGGTTGTAGTGGGGGTTAGCACTAGGCCAGGCCTGAGGGGTTGTAGTGGGGGTTAGCACTAGGCCAGGCCTGAGGGGTTGTAGTGGGGGTTAGCACAGCCAGGCCTGAGGGGTTGTAGTGGGGGTTAGCACTAGGCCAGGCCTGAGGGGTTGTAGTGGGGGTTAGCACAGTGCACCTGGGGAGGAAGTGTGTTGTATCCCTGAGTAACATCCCTGCCATCCCCCTGTCAGTCACCCAGCGAGGATGCACCTCAGTTATCTCCTCTAACACACCGCTCAGCCACTTCCTGTTTCCTCTTGCAAGGGTCAGAGGTCACACTGACAGGAGGGAGGGTTGCGGATCAGGCCTTCAAGCTGGTTAACCCTTGGGGGACATGGCTAGCAGGATACCCAGCACAAACACACTGACAGGAGGAAGGGTTGGGGATTAGGCCTTCAGCCTTCTAGCTGGGTAACTAACCGGCCCCAGGGGGGGGCTACGGTTGGCACTGTGCAGGATGGCCAGCAGTGCTTCATTTGTAAATCGGGAGGTCCGGGAACACACAGTGAGCGTGAGAAGGGGGGGGGGGGGTATCAGGGAGGCTCTGAGGTACCGGAACACATTGAGAAAGAAAGTGTCAAACACAACTTAGCAGCCAAGTAGCCTCCTATCTATGGTGGTGAAACGGACAGCCCTCTCCCAGTAGCCTCCTATCTATGGTGGTGAAACGGACAGCCCTCTCCCAGTAGCCTCCTATCTATGGTGGTGAAACGGACAGCCCTCTCCCAGTAGCCTCCTATCTATGGTGGTGAAACGGACAGCCCTCTCCCAGTAGCCTCCTATCTATAGTGGTGAAACGGACAGCCCTCTCCCAGTAGCCTACTATCTATGGTGGTGAAACGGACAGCACTCTCCAGGTATCCCATCTATCTATGGTGGTGAAACGGACAGCCCTCTCCCAGTAGCCTACTATCTATGGTGGTGAAACGGACAGCCCTCTCCCAGTAGCCTACTATCTATGGTGGTGAAACGGACAGCCCTCTCCCAGTAGCCTCCTATCTATGGTGGTGAAGCGGACAGCCCTCTCCCAGTAGTCTACTATCTATGGTGGTGAAACGGACAGCCCTCTCCCAGTAGCCTCCTATCTATGGTGGTGAAACGGACAGCACTCTCCAGGTATCCCATCTATCTATGGTGGTGAAACGGACAGCCCTCTCCCAGTAGCCTCCTATCTATAGTGGTGAAATGGACAGAACTCTCCCAGTAGTCTACTATCTATGGTGGTGAAACGGACAGCCCTCTCCCAGTAGCCTCCTATCTATGGTGGTGAAACGGACAGCCCTCTCCCAGTAGCCTACTATCTATGGTGGTGAAACGGACAGCCCTCTCCCAGTAGCCTCCTATCTATGGTGGTGAAACGGACAGCCCTCTCCCAGTAGCCTCCTATCTATAGTGGTGAAACGGACAGCCCTCTCCCAGTAGCCTCCTATCTATGGTGGTGAAACGGACAGCCCTCTCCCAGTAGTCTACTATCTATGGTGGTGAAACGGACAGCCCTCTCCCAGTAGTCTACTATCTATGGTGGTGAAACGGACAGCCCTCTCCCAGTAGCCTACTATCTATGGTGGTGAAACGGACAGCACTCTCCCAGTAGCCTCCTATCTATGGTGGTGAAACGGACAGCCCTCTCCTCTATGGTGGTGAAACGGACAGCACTCTCCCAGTAGCCTCCTATCTATGGTGGTGAAACGGACAGCCCTCTCCCAGTAGCCTCCTATCTATGGTGGTGAAACGGACAGCCCTCTCCCAGTAGTCTACTATCTATGGTGGTGAAACGGACAGCCCTCTCCCAGTAGCCTCCTATCTATGGTGGTGAAACGGACAGCACTCTCCAGGTATCCCATCTATCTATGGTGGTGAAACGGACAGCCCTCTCCCAGTAGCCTCCTATCTATGGTGGTGAAACGGACAGCCCTCTCCCAGTAGCCTCCTATCTATAGTGGTGAAATGGACAGCACTCTCCCAGTAGCCTACTATCTATGGTGGTGAAACGGACAGCACTCTCCCAGTAGCCTCCTATCTATGGTGGTGAAACGGACAGCCGTCTCCCAGTAGCCTCCTATCTATGGTGGTGAAACGGACAGCCCTCTCCCAGTAGTCTACTATCTATGGTGGTGAAACGGACAGCCCTCTCCCAGTAGCCTCCTATCTATGGTGGTGAAACGGACAGCCCTCTCCCAGTAGTCTACTATCTATGGTGGTGAAACGGACAGCCCTCTCCCAGTAGTCTACTATCTATGGTGGTGAAACGGACAGCACTCTCCCAGTAGCCTCCTATCTATGGTGGTGAAGCGGACAGCCCTCTCCCAGTAGTCTACTATCTATGGTGGTGAAAAGGACAGCCCTCTCCAAGGTGCTGATTAATTCAAAGCATTTTAGACGTCACTGCAGAATGCCCACAAACCTGAGTATAGCTGCGGTGGTCTTACACAAGTCAGAACTTCTTATAGCCTAATTTTCTTGACATCAATGAACAGGCAA